ATTCAGAGGAAGATTTAGCATTAGTCAGTTCTGCTAGGTCTGATGATTTATCTGATAACTGGGTTCTAGATTCAGGGTGTTCGTTCCATATGTGTCCACGTCGAGATTGGTTTGATACATATGAACCTCGCAATGGGGGTATGGTTATAGTCGGTAACAATGCTCCATGTAAGGTCACAGGTATTGGTTCCATGAGGTTGAGGACTGTTGATGGGCGGAGGTTAACTTTGACTAATGTACGGCATGTTCCTGCTTTAGGAAAGAATCTGATTTCATTGGGTACCCTGGATGAATTGGGGTACAATGGTGTGTTTTCAGATGGGGAGTTGTGTATTTTCAGAGGTTCTGAGTTGGTACTTAAGGGTATCAAAAGGAACACCCTCTATGTTTTTGAGGGTGTTACACTGCCTAGTTCTGCGGTTTGCGCATCTGTATCTCACCAGGAGATGACTAAGATTTGGCACATGAGGCTTGGTCATATGGGGGAGAAGGGGATGCAGCTATTGTCCAAGAGGGGTCTTCTATCCGGGGTCAAGGTTGCCAACCTTGAATTTTGTGAGCATTGTGTGTTTGGTAAGAAACACAGGTCAAAGTTCAGCAAGGGTGCTCACATTACTGATGCAGTGCTCGATTACATCCATTCAGATTGCTGGGGTCCATCTAGAGTTGAAGGTATGGGAGGTTACCACTATTTTGTGTCATTTGTTGATGACAAGTCCCGATACACATGGCTTAGGTTACTTAAGTCAAAGGATGAGGCCTTCAAAGTTTTCAAGCAATGGAAAGCTTTGGTGGAAAATCGACAAGGAAGGAAGATCAAGAAGCTACGAACGGACAATGGGCTAGAGTTTTGCAAAGACGAGTTTAATCAGTTCTGTGCAGATGAGGGTATAGGTCGGCATCATACTGTCAGGAAGACACCACAGCAGAACGGTGTAGCAGAACGGGTTAATCAGACACTGCTAGAGAGAGTTCGATGCATGCTCTCTAATGCAGGGCTTGGGAGGAGGTACTGGAGTGAAGCTGTGTTAACAGCTTGTTATGTCATTAATAGGGGTCCTCATTCTGGAATTGATTCCAAAATTCCGTTTGAGATCTGGAGTGGTAAGTTGCCTAATTTTTCGAATTTGAAGATTTTTGGTTGTGTTGCTTATTATCATGTTATTGAGGGTAAGCTGGATCCACGAGCCAAGAAGGGGTGTTTTGTTGGGTACGGGGATGGTGTGAAGGGGTTTAGAATTTTTTCACCTTCGGAGGGTCGGGTCATTCTTAGTAGGGATGTTACTTTCGATGAAAACACCATGTATTCAATTAAAAATGCAGAGATTTCAGATTTGAGAAGGGAAGGAGACAATTTATTACAGACAGATGGGGTACTTGAGGTACATCAGTCTACCATTGCTGATTTACCTCGGGTACAATATATTGATGATGATGCTGATGTTCCAGTGCCGGGTACTCCTGAACCTGAGATTACTCCTACTCATTCTAACTCTGGGGATGAGGTGGAGCAATCTAATCAGGGGTCATCTAGTCAACCTGACACCATTCTTGAGATGCCTAAACGAGTTATCAAGAAGCCTGTTAGATTGATTGAAGAGATGGAGGGAAGAAATTGCTGTGTTGATGCGATGACAGGTTATGCATTGAGTGTAGCTGATGATGTAGAGTCATTTGAACCTGCCACATATAAACAAGCAATTAGTTGTAGTGAGTCTGCGCAATGGCTTGCCGCAATGGGTGAAGAGATGCAGTCCCTTTACAAGAACAGAGTGTGGGAACTGGTAAAGGTACCGGAAGGGAGGAAGCTTGTGGGTTGTAAATGGATTTACAAGAAGAAAGAAGGGTTGTCGGAAACTGAGCAAATACGTTTTAAGGCTAGGCTAGTTTCTAAGGGGTTCAGTCAGGTAGAAGGGGTTGACTTTGTTGAGATATTCTCACCTGTGGTTCGACATACTTCTATCCGTGTGTTATTGTCAATTGTAGCACATTTTGATCTTGAGCTGGAGCAGTTGGATGTTAAAACGGCTTTCCTTCATGGCGATTTGGAGGAGGAGATTCTGATGAAGCAGCCCGAAGGATTCGAAGTTCCTGGAAAGGAACACTATGCCTGCAGATTGCTAAAGTCATTGTATGGACTTAAGCAATCCCCCCGACAGTGGTACAAAAGGTTTGATTCTTTTATGGTTTCACAAGGTTTTGACAGGAATTCATATGATTGCTGTGTGTATCATAGTAAGCTGGATAATGGTTCCATGATTTATCTTTTGTTATATGTTGATGACATGTTGGTTGCCACAAAGAATAAATCTGATATTGCTAGATTAAAGGAGATGCTTAACTCGGAGTTTGACATGAAAGACTTGGGTGCAGCTAGGAAGATTTTGGGTATGGAGATCTACAGGGATCGGGCTAGAGGTAAGCTTTTCTTGACTCAGAAAAGCTACATTGAAAAGATTTTGTCTCGTTTTGGGATGGAAAAATCGAAGCCTATAAGTACGCCAACTACTGTTAGTTGTAAGTTGTCTTTGTCTATGTCACCTCAATCAGAGGAGGAGTTGTCTTATATGTCTAGAGTTCCATATGCAAATGCGGTTGGTTGTTTGATGTATGCTATGGTCTGTACTAGGCCGGATATTGCGCATGCTGTTAGTGTTGTAAGCAGGTTTATGGCTCGACCTGGGAGGGAACACTGGCAAGGGGTGAAAAGGATTTTTCGCTACCTGAGAGGGACAGCTGATATTGGTCTTGTGTACGGGAATGGTAAGGAATGCTTGGTCACTGGGTACAGTGATTCTGATTATGCAGCTGATGTGGATACCAGGAGGTCTGTGACTGGTTATGTGTTCACTTTGGGTGGTTCTGTGGTTAGTTGGAAGTCTACATTGCAGTCATCAGTTACGTTGTCAACTACTGAAGCTGAGTATATGGCTCTAACTTCTGCAGCTAAGGAGTCTATTTGGCTCAAAGGCCTAGTAGGTGAACTGGGTATTGCACAGGATTTTGCTACAGTGTATTGTGATAGTCTAAGTGCGATTTGCTTAGCTAAAGATCAAGTACACCATGATCGGACGAAGCACATTGATGTCAGGTATCATTTCTTACGTACTGACAAGAGGATTAAGGTGAAGAAGATTGGGACTGCTGACAACCCGGCTGATTTCTTCACTAAGCCTGTTCCGTTTAGCAAGTTTAAACATTGCTTAGACTTGTTAAATATTGATTACTACGTGATGTAGTAGGCCCTGAGGGGCGAAGTTGGGGAGCTCCTGGTGTAGGTGTGTTGGCATTAAGGTGGAGCTTGCCCGGGGCTTGTGATGCAGGTGGAGCATTATGAGTTGTTATACTTGGAGACGAGTATGTGATGGGTCTTGGTTGAAGACTTATCGGGATGTATGGCTTATGCATGAGTCCTGCATCGGGTTTGGCTTGAGATGTTTTTTCACTATGTCTTGATGGGGTCGTTTGCTGACTACGAGTTCTCGTCAAGGTGGAGATTGTTGATAAGTATATTAGGTGACTCGTACTTCGTAGCTTTGTCCGCCCGATCGGGCGGACATTGCCCGGTCTGACCGGGCGGAAGAAGAAGAGGTGCCTGGCAAATTCGTTGAAGAAGCTGCTCTCGCGCCCGACCGGGCGAGCCTTCGCCCGACCGGGCGAGCCTTCGCCCGATCGGGCAGACCTTGCCCGGTCTGACCGGGCGGTGGGGGTTGGATACGTTGAAGCATTCGTATGGAGTTTTCTTCTCGCGCCCGATCGGGCAGACCTTGCCCGGTCTGACCGGGCGGAGAAGGAAAAATACGGAACGCGGATTTTGCGGTTTTAGGTTATCTTATTTTATTATCTTTTTGCCCAAGTATCTTTTATTTTAGGGATTAATATAAAACCTCCCTAATATCAGTATTAGGGTTAAGAGAGACAGAGTGAGAGCCGTTCTTGAGAAATACAAGAATCATCTTTGTAATCTTTGCAGTTTATAGTGAAATCATTCGATCTCGGTGCCCGTGGACGTAGCTATCACATCGATAGTGAACCACGTAAATTCTTGGTGTTGTTCTTATTGTTTGCATTGAATTTCTTTATTGTTTTCTTGTTTGTTTTCGACCTTTGCTTCCGCTGTCGCACAACAACAACTTAATTAAGCTTCAAAGAGCAATGATTAAAGCAAAAATATGGCGATTTGTTGCGCCTGCTTTATTTAGTTTTGCTGAATTTAAGGACCTTCATATCTTTTTAATCCACTAAGACATTGTTTATTTACATAATCATGTTTAATGAAATTGTTCCCGTTAATCATATGATATGATATACTCACCTTTAGCTACGAAGTATTTTATTCAATGTACCTAATTACCCCGGTCCAGTGAGTTAATACATACGAAGTATTTCGGTAAATTACAGGCTCTTTAAAACTCTCATATTGCATTACAAATTTAGAATTGATTGTAAATTAGAAACTAGTCGCTTATTTGTCATGACTCGATAATTGACTCGAATTATCGAGACAAAGAAGGATCTAAGGTAGCAAACTACCTCTATATGCACAATTATGCATTAGGAAACATATTTAAACAATGCCTCGGCTAATACAAATACGATATTATCAAATAATCAAATTGGCGAAACATATAATATTATTCTTTTTGCACTCTTGTACTGCAAAAGTGCAAAGCTAAAACAAGTCATGAAAACGAACGAATCACCTGTGCAGTGTGCAGTCGTGCGCACAAACAAGGTCAAATGAGCGAGACAAAAGAAAACCAGAAACCAAAACCTGCAAAAGCATTTTTAATCATCAAACTAAACAATAACATAGCAGTTGCATAAAACTTTGCATATACCATTACCATTATAAAGAAGAAAAAGGGCCCCAAATTTCTTACTTTAATCAGTAATAATGGCAGCAAATATGGCCCCAAGTCATCAAGTATCTCGCCGCTCAATACTTTAAAACAGTCTTTATTTTTTTACTCTTTCACTAGTTAAAAGCACGCTTAAAAGAAATATCACTGAAAATAAATTCTGGACAAAGTTGATTAATCTTTATTTCTGTCTTTTCGAGTTGATATATAGAATATATTACTCTGCTTTCATTCCTTGACTTTCACTATTGGTTCAAAGAATCAGGTTATATATATCACACTTCCCTGTAACATTCTTCATTATCCTGCTAGAGTTCTAGGTTAGACAACAACAATGAAAGGTAATGATGATATCTAACAGATAATCCGAGGATGGAACACTCGCTAGTGCTTCCATTCCTACCATCCCGCCCCCTCGGAGGCAGGGGTTGGTAACCCAGGTGTATCTAGAGCTAGGTGCATCTAAGGATATTCTTTTGCTCATTTGGTAAATTTGAAATGAGCAAATATACATTCTTGGGTGCACCTTATACTAGATACACCTGGGTACATGTAAGAAATTTTAGGGAGTTACGGGTAGGTTGTATTAGGGGGTCCTGTAGGAGAATGTTGCTGTGATTATCAAAAATATTTAAGAACAATGATGTCTAACAGCATTGTATAGGAAGGCAAATTTCATAATGTATTTTACCTGTTCTGTGGATGCAGAGATAAGTATGGAAAGCATGAGAAGCGTGGCAAATAAGCTTGCAAACATAGATGAAAATGGTCCTGCAAAATGGCTGCCGACATCTGTACCTCCGCCAGAGACTCCAACTGAGTCCATGGAGTTTTTAGCAAGATCATGGAGTGTTTCAGCAACTGAGCTCTCCAAGGCCCTCTCTACCACCCATGTGACACCGAAATTGCCTGAGAAGACGGCATTTGATTTTCTTAAAGATGAACTGAAGCTGAATGTTGCAGATACTCATACCATCCTTCCAAATAATTATGTAATATCATCTTATCTAAGCTCATCTGATAAAGGAAAATCGGTATATAGATGTTATATATAGATATAGCAATCATTTTCATAAATTTTGTTCTCTTTTGGCAGGAAGATGAACAACCCCATCGTGGAGAAAGTCCTCCAATTTCTCCAAGAGGTAGTGATGACACAAAGGTATATATACTTCTAACTTCTTCAGCCCCATGCCTTCCATCATCTGAATTTCTTCAAGTTATCATGATCTGAAAATGAAGCTCTATTATTCAGACAAACTGTAGAGAACTAAGAAACAACTTCCTGAATGTACTAAACTCTTTAAGCGCCATGTAAGAGAGGGTGAAAGCTAAAGAGTGATTACATGTCTTACACAATTATGCAAAAGAGAACAAGAGAGACAAAGAACATGCAACTATGCCAGTGCTTGAAAAATTCATCTACTTTAAATTTGTTTATTCCTTATTTTTACTCAATATATATCATAAAATGTAGAGATGAAATAATTCATTGCGCTTATTAATTAGGATGAATGAAAAACCAATGTTAATTAGGGTGATTGAAAAACCAGACCTTTTAGCTTTCTAATGTTTACATGGATTTGGGTGATCAGCTAATCTTGTTTACTCGTCACCTCAACTATATCTGACATGGGTTTAATTTGGCTAGGAACTCTTCTTACTTCATCAAGCACTTCACCCTGATTTTCTATCCAATCAACAGCTGTTAAGAAGTGGGGTAATTAAAAATCTACATCCTTTCAATTTGGTATTAGATATAAGTTACTAATTTTGCAAACATGACAGCAACTAATTAATACATGTAATAATTATGCAGCTATGCAAAAGCATAATAAAAGGGAAAACAATGGGGAGACGGATGAAGGATCAAAGGGAGAGAAAGAAGCATGAAATAAGAACTCACAATGCACAGCTACATGCTGCAGTGTCAGTAGCAGGTGTGGCTGCTGCTGTTGCGGCTTTAACAGCCTCAAATGCAACACCAACTGAGGCATCATCTGGACAACCAACGGCACCAATTAGACCAACTACTGCCCTTGCATCTGCTGCTGCACTAGTAGCATCACATTGCATTGAGATAGCAGAGGATATGGGGGCTGATCAACATCAGATTCTTACAGCTGTTAATTCTGCAATAAATGCAAGGACTAATGGAGATATCATGACTTTAACAGCAGGAGCAGCTACTGGTATAGTAATATTTACACAAACTATCTAATGTGGTACATTTGAACTAAAAAAATGCATAATCAATACATGCCACTATATAATAAGAAAACATCTATAAATTCCTACTTCCAATCCTATACACTCAATAAGAAAATTTATTGAAAAATTCTAATCACTATGCAGCGCTAAGAGGAGCTGCAACCTTGAAGGCAAGGCTACACAAAGGGTATGGAGCACCAGGTCTTGCTCTAAGTGAGGAGCAGTCTGAAGATGGCACAGAATCAAACTCAATGACCGCCATGAACTTTGTGATGCAGGGTGGAGAGCTTCTGAAACGTACCAGAAAAGGTAATATAGTAATAGACTGAGTCGATCATAGGCAGTGTCCTGGTGAAGAGTGTCTGACTCTTTGTAAATGTTTGACCCCAGGTGATTTACACTGGAAGCAAGTCTCTTTCAGCATAAATTCAACATTAGAGGTAGAACAACTTACTAATATATAATTCTTCCCATATATACAGCAAGAAAAAGAAAGACAGTATAATGATTTGATTTTCAACTATATTAAGTAATTTCCTAGACAGAGCACAGCATATAAGCAGATAACTAAATCTTTTGTGCTAAGCAGATAGTTGTGAAGCTAAAAAGCACGCATATAGCAGGGGCTTTCACAAAAAAGAAGAAATGTAAGCAACTGATCCCCTCCTCCTTTATTAGCACACAAAACGAGCAATATCTTGCTCACCTTTGTTATGTTTAAATTTGACTAGTGACATTGTTTCAGCAGTTACAGTATCTGGAGTATATTCTGATGTTTTAGCATGGTCTGGAAGAGAGCGAGAAGACAACAGCGAGCAGAAGGCATACTTTGGGATACAAACAGCTGACAGGGTCATAGAATTCGAATGTAAAAACAAAGGCGAAAAACAAATGTGGACTGATGGGATCCAAAATTTGTTGAATTGCCGCATTAGCATGTAATTACAAACTACTGTAAGTGTAAGAGTTTCGTTGCAGGTTGGCTGGTATAAAATCAGAAATTTCTTTCACAAGTGCAAAATGAGAAAACCTTCCTGATAAAATCTCAAGTCATTTATAAAGAAACTTAAATTCAAATCATACAGCAATCTTTGACATGATGCTCATATAGATAATTTCCAAGCATCAAAATTGTACCATCTCCGTCTTACAGAAAGATGGAGAAGCAGCATCCCTGGGTCACTCAAGTTCCTTGAGAAAATCCTTGTTGTCAACAAATACCTGTAGAAATCACATTTGCAAAGACGTAAACTGATATCATATAATTGCTGAAGTTCATACAAAATTATTTAACAGAAAATAAAGAATTTAGAGACTGAAGGCCAAATCCAAATTTTGTGAAAGGAAAGTTACAAATTCCATCACAGTACATCTCATATTCTCATGTTGATAACAATTCCTCTATCCTGCTTTACATAATATGTTTTCAATATTGGATGAAGCAAATAATACAGCGAAGTGCAAAAAGAAACAATAAAACTGTTAATACTTTCCCTTTTGCAAAAAAAATCTAATAGCCTAGGGACACTTCTGTGATTAACTGAAGAGCCCTTTTTCTATTTTCAAGTTCAATGTGTCTTTAAGATAATCTCTATTTATCTTTGTCAAATCGAGTTTAAAATACACCACACCTTTTGTGTCAGCCAAATTACTTAACTTACTTGAGGTTCAATGTTAGGCTAATATTCAGGGAAGGAAAGAGAAGAAATGAAAGAGGAGAAATTTCAAAAAGTAAACTAAGTTGATGAGCAGTCGAAGTAATGTCAAACTAAACCCACGCTTTAGGCAGCTTTTGGAAAGCTAAAGTGCTAAACTATTGAAGGACTGGAACTCTGCAGGCGCATAAGGTTAATGTTAATGACTTAATGTCTATGTTTTGCTAGTGTCTCAAATTAAACTCCTCCAAGGTCCAAATGCAAAAAGAGCTCACGCATACGGGAAACACTCAGCATCATAAGACCCAAAGAAGTTTACCCAACAAAACTACATCTTTATACATTAGATTAAGCTAATGTGAGATGACTAACAATCTACTTGGTTGGCATTCGCCACTAAATTTTTCCAACTTCCTAAATATATAAAGCTTAAACGGAGGCATGGTGGCCTATAAACTCCTCTAAATAACAGCTGAAGTTTGGAGATTTCTGTATCGTAAATATACTAAATATTACTCATACAATGCATTTAGGGAATATTCCAGAATTGCTTCAATCACAATGTAAAATTTTAGAACTTCAAATTTTCACAAGGACATACAAGATACAAAAATCTCCCTATACCATGAAATTGCCACCAAGAGGGAAAATCATGAAATTTTAAGCTACAAATAATAATAAAATTAAGCCGTTTCATGATTAGAGAAATTATACCGTCTTCCAGCCATCAGGATCCAAGCAAGCAGTTATCTTGGTATTTAATCCAGGCAATGGGCCTGGATCAAGTACAATTTTCCCTCCATTAAGTTTAACTGCCTCAGCTGTTTTATATACATCATCTGTTCCAATAGCAATCTGACAGATAATAAATAAATACATCAACAAATAATTCACACATATGAAAGTTAAAGCCAAGAAAGCTAGAGTAGAAGTAGATATCATGCTTCAAGTCCAAGTTCATCAAGATCGGAAATTTACCTGTGCATAACCATTTCCTTTGTCATACTCTTTGACTCCATAATTGTATGTTAGCTCCAGAACAGCATTGTTATTCTCTGGACCATAACCCATTATAGCTGTTGTGTACTGGAAAACATCAATTTTCAGTCAGCAAAGATGTTTGACAGACAATACCAATCAATAAATTTATAAATTAATACACCACAATGACGCATCAAGAATGATGAGAGATTAATAGCTTAACAAAAGCACTAAAAGCCACTCTTTCCCGTTGCTGGATCCAAAATATCTTAACTGCTCCCTGGAAACTAAGAATTATCTGAATAGATTAGGTTCCAGGCTATTCAGTTTACTTTGAGCCAAAAGTCAGCTTCCTGAAATGGTGAAGCTATTATTTCAATGCTTCTAAAGAGGCTCTTTCCCTAGAAGAAGAGGAAGCCAGGTTATGCAGCCTTACCTTAGCAATGAATAACAAGGCTGTTTCAAGTTGACACCTGGACACCGAAAAAATCCTCAGAACTATGAAGATTTATATGTGCTGGCAGAAAGTTTGAGCATAGAACTCACTGAGTCCATCACACAGACACCAATATTTTTTACAGGCTCACTTCTTTGCACAAGAGGCCAAAGCTCTAGAGAAAGAAAAGATGGTACCAAATACCCTTTTATCTTTCATCGTCCCATCAAACAATGTTTTATAATGAAGCAAGTCACTGACAAATACTAAACCAGGCCTGCCACTAACAATCCACCATATGGTGACAAAAGAAAACCTTCCCCATCTGATTTATACCTAATGAGGCAAGACCTTCTTAAATCACAGGTAACATTTTTTTTTTTTTTTTACCTTGTGCTCAGGAAAATCCATCTTGCGTAATAGCTCCATGCCATATGCCTTCTAATTCAAAAAGCGCACAACAAATGAACAATCAGACATGCAACACATAAAAAACACCACCTGATGGCCAACAAACCAGCCATTGAGTCAAAGTTACCTTTTTATAGAAACTAATGGCACGATTAATGTCTCCAACTCTAAGCATCACCTTGCAAAGGGGCTCTAACATAGATGCCCTTTCCAATAGCTCAAACTTATAACCATCTGGATCTTCTACAAAAGCAACAATGGAACTTTCACCTTTATCTGGACCAGGTTCCCTTGTGACCTTTCCACCCTTTGCCTTAACAAGATCCACTGTTTTAGCAACCTACAGCAAAATAATGTCCTAAAAAAAAGTAAAAAACTGGCCAGATTCTCATAGCATGCATCTTTAAACAAAAACTGAAGTTTCAAATATCAAGAGGACGTCTAAAAGGAAAATAGTCCAAAATGAAAATAAAAATTAAAATGTGATATGTTAAGAGAAAAAGGCTACACGGAAAGCTAGAAACTTGCAAAAAGATCAGTATCAATCCTTCTCGGTCAAATTGAACAAATGCGTTCACTATACTATATCTGGGCACATGATTACAGGAAGATGTACAAGAAGGCTCATCCGCTCATGATAATCAAAAACAAAAATAAAACGTCATCTCATATTTAAGTTAGCATATTCTATTTTGGGACATCCCATGAGTAAAAAAATTCTACTCTACATTTTCTATTAAGTTGGGCCCACTCACCGACCACTTAATTTCTTTACTTTTCTACAAATTACATGGTACACCCAGGTGCACAATGCTCATGGTGCGCTCGATCAAAAACAGCTATCTATATTCTTTGAATTAAAACTATACACTCTTGTGATTCAGACAACATGCTCTTTAAAGAATGTTGTTTACATTTGAACTATATGCTCTTATACTTAGTGTTCCATCCGTATGAAGTGGGTGCTCTTTATATAGATCTTTGTATATTTCCCTCATGTTCTATAGAGAAGAGAGGTGTGCACCTTTAAGATTGATCAGGCTATAGTTTTAGAACAAGTGCACATAAACCAAGCAATTCTACTCTTCACTCTCCTTAATCTCCATTCTCCATGCAGAAAGTAGATGTTAACCAAAATAAGAGCTTGAGACCATATACAAGATACCAACCCCAAAAGTTAAAAAAAAGAAGGTAGAGCCTAGGGGAAATAATTGCAAGCTCTCAAACAAGCAAAGCGACTTTCAGGAAATATTAGACATGAATTGATTGTATCTGAAATTCTGTAAGGATATAATTTCTCCATCTAAAACAAGTTTCAACTTTACCAAGATTATTCTAAAGTGTGACATTGGATATAGTTTATACTATCCTTACCTTAGAAGATACTCTGTAGTACATAGTAATCTATAGCGTTAAGTGCCGGAAAATCTAAGAAATTCAAGGAAACTCACATCCTCTACAGCAACACCAAAGTGACCAAAACCGGCCCCAATGTCATATTTGTCAACTCCATAGTCTGCAATCATTAATTTAATGACAACACCTTATCATGTAAGATGCACTTCACACAGCAAAGAAATAAAGTAACCGCGTGGAAGGAAAGGTAAATCAACTAAAATAATAGGCCTTGGTGTTCATGGTATTGGAAATAAATGGAGTCAAAGCCAGATAGCTTACTGTATGTAAGTTCAACAGTAAAGTGTGACTCTTCAGGTCCATAACCAAGAAACGCATTTGAATACTTCTCCTCTGGAATGTCTCTTTTCCGTAATAACTTCATGCCAAGGCACTCCGTATAGAATCTACAGGCTTCCCACACAAATAAGTCATCTGCTTCATAATGAGCAAATCTTAAAGTCACAGACTGACAGATGTTCAGAGTTGGAAATTTACTTTATAGTCTTATCTAAATCCCCAACACGATAGACAGCATGAAGTAATCTTCTCTTGTCATTTTTAGCCCACTCCACAGCATATTCCTCGGTGACAGAAGGTCTTGCTTCAGCTATATTACCAAGTGTACCAGCCTCCAGTATATTCTTTTCTGGCCTTGGCAGTGTAGATTCCTTAAGACCAATCAACTGCGGTTGTGAGACAACTGTAGATCATGAAATATGTATTAGTGCAAACTTGATACAAACTTCATGAGATCAATATCATTTCCTCCCACATTTTTCTACAGATTTCCCCCAAACCAACAACATTTCCCAAAAGAATACACAATCATTGAACAATGCAAACTCCTGGCAGCACCACATCAAACAACAACTTCTGCAGATACCAATAGTACAGTTTTCCTAAACCGTTCTCCAGTAAGAAATTCTCTGTCATAGACAATAGACAAGAGCTTGCTTCAAAATTTCTAGATACACTTGGGTTTCATTCAGCACCCCATAAATGTTAAACTCCTCATTAGGATTCAAGAATTTATATCAATTTTAATGTGATCGTATGCTTAAAACTCTTTCCTTTAACGTCTCTCAATGCTTCTTTATAAGATTCACAAGCCATCTTGCTTGTCGAAAAGTCCTCCCAACGGAATCAAAAGAATGCATCAAACTATAGCAATCTACACAATGAATTCAACTACAATTCAAAAATTACAACAACTGAATGACATGATTTTTTTATTATCATATAATCCTCGCATCAAACATTCTAAGGGGGTGTTAGATATGACTAATGGAAATGGAGTGGAAAGGGAAACAAATAAGTGGGAGGAAAGGAATCATTTAACTCTACCTTTCCATTTGTTTGGTTTAATCATGAAAAAGAATCACTTAAACCTATCTTCCTTTATTTTTGTTTGAGGAGAGTAAGGGTAATTATCACCTTAGGTTTTAAACAGGTAACAAATGAGTGGAAACCATTACCCTTAGGCCTTAGGAAGTGGTAATTGTTACCCAAACCTTCCAACCAAACACTTGGTAACGATAATGGTTTATTTGAATCCATTTCCAATCAAACATGCTCTAAATTTCTAACAATCGAATGCCACTCTTCAACTCTATAACAATAGCGCGATTTTATCCTTTCTATCAACAATTGACAACTTTTACTGTCAACTTCCTCCACATTATCAACAAAAAAAATTAACAATAAACAATATCTTATGAAACAAGATTCTGCAATAAGTTTAGCAATGATATTTTCCCATTTTATTTCATCAATACTGAACTCTGCAAAAACGTACGATGAAAATTAGCATTAATTTATCAAAATTGTCTTATAATTAATTTCAAAAAGAAGCATTATATCCAAATTATCATCAATTAGGCCCTAACATTACAAAACTAATCATTTCAACATGAAAAAACATAGATTATAGTTTCCTATCCACTAAATTAAACAATTAAACATCAAAATTCAAAAATATAAAATCAAAATTCGAAATGTATTTCGAAAAATATCATCAGCGCATATGAAATTGCAGTAAGAAAGAAGAATTAGAGGTAATTACCAGCACCGAAATGAAGGAGAGAGAGGCGGCGAGAGATATGAAAGGAAGAGAGAGAAAGTGCGACGCGAGAATGAGAAGCGAGAATCCTTGTGTTGGAGAATGTTGAAGAGAGAGACTGTCGAAGTGGAGGTGCGAGTGATAGTGGAGAAGACGACGCCATTGTTGCTGTTGTAGTGCTAATTTCTCTCTCTGCTACAGATTTTTTTGGCGCTTTCTTATCTGTTGTAATATTTCTTTGGTGGTCAATATGTCATAAAGGTTTGGTTCTCCGTCTCGACCGTGGCTCAACCGCCCAAAGGGAGGTTCGGACAATATTAGAGATGGCTATAGGCCACAATGCCACATCGTGAGCTTGGCCAGTGGGTTGAAAGCTCAAGCACGACTCGGGACCATGGGCATTGTTGGCGTGTCGAAAACCAGATATCCTCAAAAAATTCGATAATTCTTACTATATGCTAGGTTGCACAAGAGCGGGTACTGACAGCTAACACGAATACGGGTATAATACGAATACGAGAAAACGTCTATCTCTAAATAAGGGACATGGATATGAAATGATAAAATTTATATCATATATGAAAAAAAAAAAAAAGAATTCAACTATATATTTATCGCTCTGTCCTCTTATTAGATCATACTATATAATTATATATGAAGGCACTTATATTATTTAACTATTACCTTATTTATCTTACTTTACTTAAATGTTCTTATTACTAGGGCAGCCAAAGAGCGCGTTGCGCGCAAGGTGGCAAGCCCTTGTGGCTTAATTTTTTTTTGCTTGTGTTTGCACTTGACAAGGATTTAATGGACTGATAGAGGAATATCTCTTTATTGCTTAGTCTTAACTTTTCTTGGCTTGTGTTTGCACTTCACATGGAGTTAATCGTCCGCTGCCGAAGGCTCTTGTCTTTGATGTTGTAGAATATTCTCGAAATGTGATACAACATGTCGCACCCTTATTTAAGTAGTGGGAAAACACAATGTGCTAACACTTTATATAGGAATTTATGATATTAATATACCTTTTGCGCTCATTGACTTAATTGGAAACAAAAAGGTACATCATATAGCAGTACATGGTACATCACAATAATATATAGTAGCGACATTAATACATAATAGTATTCAGATACACATGATTTCACAATGCTCAAAAGTTAACAGATAATCAGAAAATGAACTCGGACAAAATGCTTCTAACAATTTAGTTTTGTAGTAAATTAACCCTATGCCACCCATAATGCTCTTAATAATCCCTTGAATTCCTCTTTTCCAACCCATAATTCCCTTAATAATTTGGAAAATTTGTCAATTACTACTGCAAGTTAATACCACTTTGTAAATTACTACCGCAAATTAAAAAAGTTGTGAATTACTACCGCAAAAAATTTTAAGATGTTGCGATTACTAAGCTACCAAACCCCCATTAAACCCAACTATGACGTCATTATATCACTTTAACCCATGTTTGACCATGGTTAAGGGCTTTAACCAGCCAAAAAAAAAAGGAAAATGGGTTAGGGATATAATGATGTCATGGTTAAGGGATTTAACTCATGTTTGACCATGGTTAAGGGCTTTAATCATGGGTTAATGAGCTATAATGACGTCATAGTTGGGTTTAATGGGGGTTTGGTAGTAATCGCAATATCTTAAAAAAATTTGCGGTAGTAATTCACAACTTTTTTAATTTGCGGAGTAATTTACAAAGTGGTATTAACTTGCGGTAGTAATTGGCAAATTATCCTAATAATTTCCTTGAATCCCTTTTTGCTTTCTTCCCCTTCATTGTAGTTAGTTTGGTTTCATTTTTTTCTAGTACATCTAATTCGGGACAATCATAGATTAATTTCAGTAGTTTCAACGTCCTTTAAATACAATTATGTGTAAGTCGTTAATTTCGACCTTTACAAAATATAGAAAGAAAAACTCCACATAAAGCAATAACTTTTCGTTGTCTAGTGACTAATGTTGTCATGTAATAAAATCATAACCCCCATTAAATTAAATCGAAAATTTTAAAATTTATTATTCCATTCTTCATCATTTAATTTCTAATTAATTGATGGGTCTTTAGAAAAATTACAAAATTACACTTGGGAGTAAGAAGGTATAAAAAAACATTTTGAGAGGTATGTGCACTATTCATAAGAACAATCTTCCACTTACACTTGGGAGTAAGAAGGTAAAAAACATTTTGAGGGGTATAATAGTCCGTGCCCTATCCATAAGAACAATCTCTCACTTTTTATAAGGTAGGGAAAAAAATTGAACAACTCATAATATAGTAGGATATGGTCCGAGACCGAGACGTATCATTGTATGTCCCACGAGTTTCGGTGTCTGACACGATGTCCGACACGGACACGGCATTTGGATAAAGTGTCCATGTAATCTAGATGATATGTGAATTATAAATTATGATACGGAGTACTTTGTATTGGCTACATATACAATGAATGATGGTTGGTTATAAAACTTTGTTATTTCTCATTGTCATAACTAATGTAGTTAGTTCAAGGTTTTTTTTTTTTTTTTTTGAAAAGTAGTTCAAGGTTTATAATAAGGAAAAATTAGAAATAATAATCCCAACTTTCATCAATTTTGCTACAATAATCCCAACTTTGGTTTATTCTGGAATAATCCAAACTTTGGGGATTGTTCTTTTTCTTCAATCCCAAAAAACGATGACCGGTTTAATTTTTTTAATTTTTTTTAAAGGGACACGTGTCACAATTGAATTGGCTTAAACAACATAAAAACAAAAAAAAACAAAAAAAAGAGGAAAAAAAAACCCCAAAATCCCGACCACTAGCCAAACCCCAAAAAACCACCAGCCTAACACCAAAGGGTGGCGGTTGTTGCCCTTACCCCTCCCCCTACGCCGCTTATTCCCCCCTCCCCCGCGTAGGTCTCCCCCTCCCCGCTCGTCGGTCCTCCTTTTTCCGTTTTCCGACTACCCTTAATCGAAACCCCCAAATTCCTTCCACTCGAAAATCGCTTAAAACCACCTGTCCCACTGCCAAAAACCCCCCAAAAATCCTCGCCACCGTCGAAAACCCCAACCACTTAGGGTTTCGAGGTGGTGGGAGGAACGATTTGGGGATTTTGGCAGTGGGTAGGGTTTTCATTGGTGGATTCATGGGTTTTGGAGTGGTGGTTTCGTGGGGAATGGGGGTGTTACGGGGATGGAGGAAGACGACAACGCGGCGGGTTGTTTCATGCGGCTAGCCGGCGAGAAAGGGGCGGCAGGCTGGCAATGGGGTGAGGGTTAAGGTGGTGGGCTGGTGGGGGAAGGGGGAGGGGGAAGTGACTGGTGGTCTGGTTATTTTTGGGTTTTTTTTATTTTTTATTTTATTTTTATTTTTTTTGGACCAATTAGGGCTTGACACGTGTTAAGTGACCTGATATAATAGGTCATTGACTTTTGTTGACCAGTTAGGGATTGAAGAAAAAGAGAAACCCCCAAAGTTCGGATTATTTCAGAATAAACAAAAGTTGGGATTATTGTAGCAAAATTGATTAAAGTTGAGATTATTATTTCTAATTTTTCCTTATAATAATTACATTGGGATATTTTCTATTTTTCTTATATAATGGTGATGTACAGATCAACAGACCCATTTATAAACCGATTGGTTCGTGTTTCTATAGGTCCTAATAGGGGTGTACGAAGTTTGGTCTAGACCGCACTAAGCTTTCTTTTTGTTCCCTCCCTTCTTCTCCCTCCCCTTGTTTTCCTTATCCTTTCTTTATCCAAACACATCACAGGAATTGAACCTTCAACAAATCAATACCACATTTTCAAAGGAACTAAAGAAGTCATGTTGTCCTGTTTAACATCTTACAAACCAACTGCATTCCTTTCATCATTTGAACATTGTTAGGAGGAGAAGAGGACCCCACCCTTCTTTACCTCCTAGCCCATCCCAAATTTACATTTAATTGACATCATACAAACAAAAACCACCAAAGAGAGCCAAATTCAACCTTTTTTTTTTTTTTTTTTTTTTGTGACGGGAAATTCAACAAACTCAAAAGTGTACCAACCTACAAAAAAACAAAGAGTAACCATAACACTTCCCACGGTATGCAAATAATGTGCAGTAAAAGCAATAAAGAAAGCGAAATAAAAGAAAGGTAAGTCATCTAACATGAAGAACAACAAAGAGGAACGAACGAAGCTAGATAAAACAAATGCCCCTTAAACCAGAACATGGGCCATAAATAGACCTCAAGGGCAACAAAATTGGCAAAATTATATCCAAAATGTCCTTAATCAAAGAAATGGATCAATAATTTGGATTTCTGCTGTCTCGTGCTGAATTTCGACTTATCATCTATTTTTGTACATGATGATTTATGACACTTTCTTAGTAATCATGTATTATACCAATACAAAATACATAATACAATATACTCCCTCCGTTTTTAAATACTTGCTCCATTTCTCCATCCGCGGAGTTTTAGGAAAAAATTGGAGAAAGTAATAAAATATGAAGGTAGTGGGGTAGTTGGGAAAATATAAAAATTATAAAAAGCAAAAGTAGTGGAAAAATAGGAAGAGAGAGTATTATGTTGGGTCCACCAAATGTGAGAAATGAATTAAATACTGTAAAAGCTTTCCAAAAAAGGAAATGGAACAAATATTTAAAAACGGCTAAAAAAAGAAAAGTGGAGTAAGTATTTAAAAACGAAGGGAGTGATGAATATTGTAGTTAAACTTCATTATCTTTGACCATTAAAAATCCGCCAATAAAATATTGTATTCCGCATACGATTTCATCCTATAGGTATTAGGTAAGATGTTTTGGATGGATCATAGAAATGACCCCGGCAATTAGCTAGACCCTAGCAAGTAGCAAGTTAAACAAGTAATGTTGACAAATGATAAGAAGGGCGGCCACTAGGACAAATAAAAGTCGTACGTACTTACGTGGTTGCCAGCTTTAGTATGCAAATAATTCACAAAAATATTTGATCAACTTCAAAGGAAATCATCATGCGCCTTCATGCACGTTCAAACTTTTGGGATAGTTGTAATTATTTTTATTTGTCAATTGTGTAGTGGAGCATGAACGTTGACTGTTAGAATATATGAAAATATATTCTAATAAATATTGTACTTCCTCCGTTTTTAAATACTTGCTCCACGTCTCTTGGACACGTATACCGATGCTAATTTTTGATCACTAATACTCCCTCCGTTACATATTACTCGCAATAAATGAATATTTTATGTCTCACAAATAATACCCCTTTATTGCGAGTAATTCGTAACGGAAGAAGTATCTTTAATTATCAATAAGTATAAATTCTAACAATTGAAAATTAATAATCTATTTATTGAGATAATTCCACCAAATACCCACAAGACTATATATTTTCTTATGTATAAATCACAAACACTAGTCAAAGTAGGACAAATGAATAGTGCAAAAAATAGAAATAGAGCAAGTATTTAAAAACGGAGGGAGTATATAATTAGTTTGGTAATTGTACATATCCTTGCCTAGTTTGTAGCTAGATAGTTTTCTAGTTTATCTCTTGTACATCGTGTATTTATACTTGAAGCAATGAATGGGAAAGGCAATGATCACATTCTTTCATTGTGTATTTTTGACGCCTTTTGGTCCAAATTACTTCTAATTACTCACTTACTAATTTAATTGGACATTTTTTTAGTACT